CATAGAAAGAAAAGAAACATCAAGTCAAGTATAGTATAGAGATGAATATATACATACATCGTCATTCTGTTATATGATAGTTTCATATTCTTTTTCTCAGGCATATTTTTCGTATATATAGATTGAATAATATTGTTCTCAGTTTTGTTTCCAATCAAATTACCGGTGAATAAATTCACCGATGCCAATTTTGACGGCTTCCCTGAAGACAAATCTAAAATAAAATTCCAAAAAATTACTCAGAGATTTTTAGAGCTGAAAACAGAGAGAAAATTCTGTAAATGGCTACATCTAAAGTAAAAAGACCAATTTGAGATAGTGGCGCGGGTGCTTCGTATTTAAACCATCTCTTAGAGCCCGTAGACGTTTCTTTTTGATCAGAAATGTTTGTTCTATAATTTGCCATTTTTAGTTTCGCCCTCTTATGTGTACAGCATAATTTTTAAAAAAAAAAAGCTTTTTAAGACTTATAGAAAGAGTTTTTTAAACCCCGTGGGAAATGCAGTTAAGCTATAGAGAAATTAATAGAGATTGATCGATTTACTTGTATCAAGAAGAGAGCTAAAAATCATCGATTTATCTTGACAATTTGCCAAAATCGATCATTACTGATGTTTGATGAGCGGAAAATCGATCAACAGATAAAAAAGAGAGTTTGACGAGAAAGCCAAGTCAGTATAGATTCTGATAGTGAACACCGTGGGCTGTCTAACCGTGTGTTCAACTCAATATCGACCATTTGACGAAAAAAAATCGTCATTTTTGAGAACTGCTCTTAAGAAATTGGAAAACGCTACGAAAAATTGATCTCGCAGAGGCTGTCCATTGTTGGTTTCGCCCTCCTATGTGCTCAAACATCAATTTCCAAAAAATATTTTTAAATTTTTACTATGAAGGTATGAGCATCACTCTCCTGTGTCGAATGGCAAAAAGCCGCCGGTCTATATCGATTTGTGTTTAAGAATTATTCAAGAAATGACAGAGTGTTCTTTGAAATAAATAGTAGCTCGTTGCTGTAGTGAATGGTGCGTTTATTGAAATCATGAGTGAATTATAGTGTCTCTAGAAAAAAAAACGGAAACACGAAATGAAAGCCCGTTTATTATATAATTATAAAACTTTCATTCATTAAATGAATGATCATTATGCATATGTATCACAAGTTTTTTGTCAAGCGGAGATATGACTAAAATAGCAACAGAATTTTCCTACTGAGTCTTCATTTATATCTATTATTCCTTTTTTATAATTTCTTTTACTTTTCTCTAGTCTCTAATCTCTTTTTTTCTTATGATGGTGATAATAGAGTACTCTTTTCAACAAGCATCAATGCGTTCATTACATCCTTATTAATCAGAAGAACTAATTTTTTTGTGAACGAATAAATATTCTTATCCTGTTAAAAGTAAAATCAAAGATGTGTCCTATTCAATTTTTTTATAATAGTTTAGAAATGACTTAAAAACAAAAAATAATCTAAATCTCTCAGTTTTGCCTGTTAATAGTAAAGTGATAGTAAACAATCATGATCATTTAGTTATGAAATAGATAGTAGTTCTTATGAATAAAATAATATCACAAAAATGGTGTGTTCGTCTATTTCCAAATAACGAAAGATTGATTTTTCGTGATCAATATTGTAAGATCGTCAATGAAAATATCAGACATCCACAATATTTTCTTTCATTATACGAACACGATAATTGTTATACTATTGATCTTCACGAACCGTATAGCACGATGGCTATTTTATGAGAACGTTATTACATTCAATTAGTAAAGTCAATAGTAAACTATACTTTTGTATCAATAGTAAAAAACATGCAAAAAAAAGTCACTAACTTCTCATTTTTTTTCTTTTTCTAAAATTAGTTTTCTTAGTATTTCCTCACTTTTCTGATTGAGTGATAGGCGGAAGATTGCATTTCTTTCTCCACTCAAGTATAATCGAAACAGTTTTTTTTTTTTTTCTTATGACACACAAAAGAAATGAGACTATCCAGAAAAAAATGCTTGTGTTCTTTTAGCTTCTTTCTTTCTTTTTTCTGATACAGAAAGATTCTTTGTTATTATTTGCATACAAAATACATCTCATCTAACTCATCTCACATAACTACAGTTGTTCAAATATATACACGCACATACATCTTCTGCTTACTGTAGACAAGTTGCGTTATACACAGTTTTGATAATAACGAGGTAAGGTTAATTTTGCTTTAATAATAGACGAAAAACAGGAATTATTAAGCAGTCACAAAGTCAGGTAGCTCTATATATCCATCATTGTGGCAAGCTATCGATTCTCTCTCCACCCCTCTCATTCCTTATTACTTTTATCAACAAAAGAGATATTTTCGAATGAAATAACATTGAATCACTATCTGATGCAAAAAGCATGCACACAGTTGTTCATCAATCTGATAGGAAAAACATGTCTAGATATGTGAATCCAGCGGGAGATAAAACGATAATTACTTTATCGTCAATGTTTTAATTGCATAGTCAGTGCTATAGTACTATGTGTTATAGTCTATAATGATTATTCTACATATTAATAACTACAGAACAAGAAGAATAAAGAATAAAATAGAAAGAATGTCATTCTCTAAGAATAATTTTCTGTTTTTTTTGTTTCCACTATATAAACACATTAAAGCGGATTTTTACTTAATGACACACTTGAATAGAACACACTGTTACATTGAATCTGGCAAACAATAGCAAAAATTTTACTGACATATATTTGTTGATGAACGTTTTGGGATATTTGTAATAGGCGTTAACACTCAATAATATTCACTTAATTATTTAATATTCTTAATATTCACTAATATTTTCAGAGGAAAAAAAAAATATGTCAGTTTTTATCACAATTTTTCTGATGCTAACTAAACGTAAAAATGCCACGAGTGTGCAATTAAATTCGTTTTTTATACTCCTTCTAATGAACTATACAACGAGTATATATATATCATTAACGGAAAGTATTTGATGCAAACTTCAAGTCACTCAGTACATGATTTTCTTGACTGTCAGTGGATATTGGTCGGTGTAAGCATTTTTTACTAACAGCTACAGTTTTGTATTTAAACAATGATCGAGCATCTTTTCCATATCACCGGAACAAAAATAAAATAAAGTTAGTTTTGAGTTGCTGAAAAATGCTTTTTCGTATTCACCACACTCGATAACCCAGTAAATTTTCTATTTTTGGCCAGAAGTGCTTCCAAAAGTTTAAGAAAAATTTTGAAACAAAGTGGCGCAAAAAAATTCCCATAAGAAAATAATATTAGTTTGAAAATTTTTCCTAAACTTTCGCAAGTACCTCGGATCAAAAATAGAAAATCTTCTGGGTCATCGAGTGTGCTGAATATGAAAAACCACTTTCAGCAACTCAAAACCAACTTTATTTTTTTTCCGGTGATATAAATTTCTTTTTGGTTTTTTAAACTGCTATGACCTGAGTTCAAAGACTAAATGGAAAAATGTTGAGTGTTATATGTTCCCGATGTGTTGACAAGTGCTTTAATTTTTTATTTGAAAGAGCAAAGTTTGAACTTCAGAAACAAGTCATTACTTGAAAAGGTATCAGTACAAAAACATTGGTGAAACTGAATAAAAAAATTTATAAATGAGCAAAATTTTTAACTGGCTTTTTTATATGTGCATGACATCTGAATTGTCTCTAATGATCTTCAAGCCTAAAGGCACACAGCTTATCAATTTCAAAAATTCACAAGTGCTGTGTCGCATTGATCGTGAATCAGACGCTTGCATCTAGATTAAAGGTATATTTATTTAGCTTGAATTCAGCTGAGACACATGTAAATTTCGTCTAGTGAAAACTAGACAAAACCTGACTGCAATATCGTTCAACCAGCTATTGTTGATTAATAAGACAGCGACTTGCTTCAGTTAGAACACGATTTCTAACCAGCTTCCAGCTAAGCACATATACCTCTTAGTCTCGCTTATCTAGCTACAAATGTATGCTACAGCTACCGCTCCTGTCACATTCTCTTTTCTTACGTTTTACTAGAAACGAAAATTCGAACCGAAAGTCCGTTTAATGCTTATATAGTACGACTTGTCCACGTAACTCTGCTACCAGAGACGTCGCAGCGTAACGTTTTTTGCTCATTTTGTTTTGAGCATAGCCTTGAAACAAAAAGTTGTAAAAAGTTGTGGAACGTTTTAAATCGAAGAAAAATCTGTTTTGAAGATTTTCGGATCTATCCGACCTGGTGAAAATGTGCACTCGAAAAGTTATGAGATAAACATAGTGAGGAACATTTCTGCTTTTATAAGATCTTACATTTCTGCTTTTATAAGAAGTACAGATAATTCTTTTTATTGTTTCATGCGTTGCTCAAGAAGAAAAAAAGCTTTTGATCGGCGGTTTTTGGCAAAAACTTTCTCGCTAACTCGAGTCTATTTGTACACAAAGACTTACTTAAAAAAATGTTCTCTGTTGACGATTCTACGCCTTTAAGACCGAAAAAGTTACTCTTATTATTAACCAAAATATTCTATACAACTAGTCAAGTGAAATTAAGTGTGCGTTAAGAAAACTAAGATACCGTGTGAACGAGCGCCAAAAAAATGAGTAGGCTAATGCGCTTCGTTTGATTCGTTTAACATCAGCCGCATTATTATTATCAAGTTTTATTCTGACATGAAGATGCTCTCTCACATGGTATCTTAAGAAAAATATTTCGGCTTCATAGTAATGGAAGATTGTCTGATAAGTCATGTCACTTTTGGCTTGAAGTCGACTTTTCTTCCTTAAGATGGTAACTGTTCCAAAGTTCTTTCTTTTAGTAAAATGAGCTTAGCGTTCTCTTCTATCGACTGTAGTAGTTTTCATAGCTTTTTAGTACACAGACAGTTTAAAAATTCCACTTGACCAGCTGTATGAAAACTTTTGGCCACCACTGTATAATTATATCTATTGAATGAATAATCATCGTATATATCACAAAAATCTTTTTTTAGGCAAAATGGCAACAGCACCAACTGATCAAGTTAGTATCAATGTTATGCGTAAATCTGATGGTAAATTTCTTGGCTTTATTTTATCGGAAAAAGCGACAATTCACGAACTGAAACATGAATTAAAACTGCGATTAACACCTCAGTATCCTCAAGGTTGCCGTTTAATATTTCGTGATAAAGTACTGAAAGGAAGACATACATTAAAGCATTATGGTCTCAAAGTAGGTGTTAATCAACAAGATATACTTATGGATGATTCGAAAAATTGGTCATCATCGTCGGAATCTGATCCAGAATAAAAGCATTTTTTATAAAAGATTATTCAAATTCTAATTATTATTAGAATTATGCAGAAAAAACTCTAAACTTTCTCTGTTGCTATTGTGTTTTCTCTTATCTTCTTTTTATTTTATTCTTGCATTTTTAAATGGGTCTACGCGTAGTCTCGTCGAACTAACGTAAGTTTACTTTTTTATGTTGCAGGCATAATTATGGATTCTCAAAGAAATTCAGTTTAGTTTAATTTAATCTGTATTAATCACGAAAAGAAAAAGCTAAAAGTGCAAGTAGCTAAGTGTAGCAGAAAATCAGGAATCGCAAATACATTGCACTAGGCAATCTGAGCCCGTAAACGAATTATAGATACGTAATACAAATAAGTATTAATTGTATGTGTGTGAGAGAAAAACAAACGCTAGAAAGGAAGTAAAAAAAACAAACCTATGAACAATAAGAGGAGAAAGACGAGAATGGAAGGTAAATGTCTTATGTGTATGTGATAAGTGCAAACTATTGATCAAAACACGTACTACTTTTGATGAAGGTGATAACCGCTAAATAGATGATGGAAAATTCCTCACATTCCCAGTTGGAAAAGTTAAGTAAAGTGCAAGTGACCAGTAGCCCTTTTGAATGGTTTCACTCGTATTTATCGTATAGAGAGCAAATAATAGTAATCAATAAAAAATCAAAAGCAGCAAAAGTTATATCTGGCATTCCCCAAGAGCGTCCCTTTACTTTTCTTGATTTTCGTAAATGATCTAAATGAGAAATTTCCTTCTATGTGACAGTGTCGCTTTCTGCTGACAATGTTTTTGGTTTAATTCCTCTTCAAAACTTTAATGATCTTTCAGAAGTTCAGAAGTTTTTGGGTATCATGTCTGATGGGTATGTGAAAATGAGATCGATTTTAATACAGAAAAATGTTTTTATATGTTATTTTTCAGTTTAAAACTTTCTGCTCAATATTCCCGTCACTTTACGTTTCTGGGAAACCGCTTTTATTACATAAAAACATTAAATTGTTAGGGGTATATCTTTCAACAGATTTGACCTGGAAGTATCATTCAGAAATCATCAGTAAAAGATATAGACAAATGCTAGGAGAGATGAACAGAGTTTTCAAGTGTGCGCCAGAGTTCATACGTCTTCATATTTGCAAAATATGTCTTTTACCAGTAGTGAACTATTGTTGCATTGTTTTTGATAACGATTTTACCACGCACATCTGTACATAAACTAACTGCACGAATGATCGCTAATAACTTCTCTGCGAATAATTTGGCACTTATCAATAAACTTAAACTACCAGATTTAGAGAATCGGAGGAAATACTTTAGATTAATGTTTTTTCATAAGATTATTATAAGACTGATCGAACTGCACTTACTTCATTTTCACCTGATAAAATCATTATGTACTAGAACCTCAGTACGAACTTCAAATAAATGTAATTGGTAGACACTAAAACTTAAACGAAAATCTACAAAGTCATATTTTTGCCTCAAATTATCCTCCAATGGAATGCTCTACCTAGAGAGATAATCGGTGCCTTCTCTGCTCGATCATTCAGACGTGCTTTAGGTAAACATCTTTGTTTATTATAATTATAATGTTGTTTTTATGCCATCTTTTTTCTATTTTCTATTTTTTAGTTTACGTTCATGGTGTCCTTCTAGTCAAAATTTTCCATGTAACTTTTTTGTCAGTACTATTATCCGTTTAACATCTAGGGCATGAAATAAATTTGATTAGTTATCCTTCAACAGAATTAATTTTATATAAATTGTTATTTTGTGCGGCACCGAATCAATAATTTGTTTACTCATAGCATCATGATAAAAAGTAGATAGAAACGAGGCTAATATTCATCGAGTCAATTCGGCTCGATTCGATCCAGGTAGAACCGGGTCAAACCGAGCCAATTTTTTGAAAAGCGTAGTCGAGTCGAATTCAAAATGAGTGGAGTCGAGCCAAGCCCAGAAAGAAAAACTTCTTTTGGCAAAATGTACTAACTCTTTCCTATTGATAAAAATATAGAGAACAACAAAGTTAGCTGTTAGCAACCTCGACAAACATTGTGATTGGCTATTTATTCTACTTTTCACATTAGAAGCATTTTTCCATCACTGATCGAAGGCTGAAACGTATTGTTGATATTCCTAGAAAAGACGGCTTCTGACAATTTGTCAACACCATCATCTTCTTCGTCTTCCTCAAAGTCTACTACATTTGACTCTTCTGAAATTAAACGATTGTTAATAAATAAAAAACGCGAATATAAAATTGTAACTAATACACGCAAAAATGTGTCTGCCACATAGTTAGATTTCCAGTACAAAACACAGATGATGATAAAGTCGCAGCTGTTGCTGAATTTGCTTCAAGTTATGCATTTTTACGTAAAAATAAGTTCAAAGATTGAATTTTGTGAAAAGTAAAAGCTATTTTTTAAAAACCTGGAACTGCACTGAGTCGAGTCGAGCTCGGTATTGTTGTTGTCTAACCGAGTTGATATTGAATTGAGTCAAGCCGAGCACAAAACAAAACCGAATTGACTCCTTTCGATCTCTGATATGTATGTGTCGGTTGATAGATCGAATTTAATTTTGTTTTTAAATTTTTATTTGAACAAAATAATAGCTAGAAAAAGTAAAAATGATTAACAGCATGACGCATTTTGACTTGTAAAAGTAGTACACACGCCAATTTATTTTTCGAAGTTTTCATGTAATTTATTACCAAGGTTGGAGACAAACAAAGTTTGTATCTGTAATGACAGGATCAATTAAATAACGTTAATAAGTAGATTTTTTTGACATCAACCAAAGATGTTGATGAATTGATCATGAATGACAGGCATTTAAGATAAGAGATGATTATTGAGAAGAACTGAAACGGTTTTTTTGCTTGCTGGTTTTCTTTCTTGCTGTTAAGGGTATTCCCTCTTTGTTGAAAAAACTTCCGGCTTTTTAGTTAAATATATCTTAATGTAGAAAAAGTCTGAGCTACGAGATAATACCACTTCCAGTTTTCTACGATATTTTTTGAAGAATTTATGAGCTATGTAAGTTGTTTTCGAAAGACTCAAAATACTTCTTTTTTTTCCATAAATTTCCACTAACGTGATATTATTTTCTTGTAGATAGTCTGAAAGGGTAAAGCATTCTCTTTACTATGAGATGATATAAGCATCGACACAAATGCCCGCAAAAAAGTATACTCGCTCATGAACAATTGCGATCTAGTCACCATATGACCCCTTAAAAAAATAGCCCGGTTATGCTGAAATTTTGATCACAGAAACATCAGACCCTATCACAACCTGTAAATTCTTTTTAAGCATCTTCGATTTCAAAATTCAGCTTAGAAGGATTTTTAAAATGAAAACCAAGTTTTTAAAAGGAAATGGGAAAGGTCCACACTCATCTTTCCTGCCGCTCACTTACCCAGTCACACATCTTGTATGTGCTATGTCGACAAAATGGTTTTTTCAACTCTTTCTGACAGATCATTTTTGGAAAATGATCTGTCAGAAAGACAGATGGTTGTCCCATTTCCATTTTCTTTCCATATGATTGGCAAAACTAGGACGTTAGTACCCTTTTTGGTGTTTACATTGCATTGGTATCTTTTTGAATGATGTCAAATAAACTTTTGCGGTCGAAAAGTATAGAAAAGCTAGGAACTTTGAGTCGCCTAAAAAGGAATAAAAACGACGCGAAGTACTCAAATTATAGAAAGTATAGGAATACCATGAACTGTACAAACTGTCGGAAAACTGCTTAAGAATAACCGAATTCTTAGTATTTTGAAGCTTTTACAAAACGCGCTCAGCAAAATCCGGTGACAAAAAATTTAGCTTCTCACTTATCACAATACTTACATGTGAACGCTTTTACTCCACTCACTGTCACTTCCCACACCATCCCCAGTCCCATCGTACAAGTAGCATCTAAGCTTAAGAAGCATTCGACTATTGACCTTTATGGGCACAATTTGAGGCTGTCTGTTTCCTTGCTAGTTAAAGGATATAGAGACGGCCAAATACGAGAATTTGCGATTTATGTATTATGACTCCAACACAACCTGCAAGTGTTTGCATTTGACAATGCTCCTGTAATTCCTAAAGTTCGTATAGTTGCTATCGTTTTTATTCTTTTTCTGTGCAACTCAAAGTTCCTAACTTTTCCATACTTTTCGACTGCAAAATTTTATTTGACATCTATGATCTTCTTTTGAATACCAAAACATTGACTTTTTGCCCTCTTTTTCATGTGAAAAACATGGCGTTCGTCTGTTTCTCCTCTTCGTGTTTTTTGACAAATATTTTTTAGTATATTTCATTGTTTGACAGCGTAATAAATGTATAAGCACACCGCTGATTCAGCTATTGCGCAATGACCGGCAAAAATTCTTCTCGATCTATACAATCTGAGAAAGAGAACAATGAATAAGAAGATAAACTAACCAGTTTTACTAACCAAACCATTGTTTTCTGACAAATTCTTTTCACAATCCAGCTGACGAAGCCCTTGAGCAAAGCAGAAATACCCACTAAGAAGCTCATTTTTCATTCAGAAACTCAGAGAACGCTGGCGTTCTGAAATTCTGAACGATTCTGGAATCCTCCATATTTTGAAATTCTTCCAAGTGTGGAATGTGAAGAATTCTATACTTTACCTTAAAGTCGTTATATTGGATAATGATAATTGGACAGCTCCGGTTCTGGTGAAGCAAATAGAGTTATAGGTGGAATTCTGATTTAGAAAAAATGAATTTTCTAAGTAACAAAGCAAAACAGAAAAGAAAATAATATGTACTTTAAAATTCATTAATGGCGGATCGAATGAAGTGAAAAACACAGGCTTCACTCTTCTCAGAAAAAACTAGATTTACAAAATTATTTATGAACGTTTTATGGGGGAATGCCCAAGGCGCCCGTACCGGATAGACTTTTGATTTCAACCGCGATCAAGCATCATTCTCATACTCAATTTGTGATGCTGAATCTTAAAATACTTTCGAAAAATTGGAAGACTGAAAAAGAAAAAAGTTCCAGTATTTTTGAAACTGAAGAGTTTTTCGAAATTTTTAGACCCGTCAAATTTTACCAATTTTTCTTTCTTAATAAATTAAAAGCCACTCTTTCTTACTCAGGTCTATCCTCTAATAAGGAAGTTTTTCCATACTCGACTTTCAGAGACTCCTTTTGCTTGTGTCGAAAACTTGCTTTTTTAAAGAATAATTAACCATATTCACGGTCATATTTCTTAAAGACTAAAAGGAGTCCTTTTCTAAAAATAGACGAGCATCGTGTGTACTTTAAACTAGTATGAAAGATAGAAATGGATCTACTCTAATTAGTGTAATGTTAGTTCGCGAAGTTGGTGCAATACGAAATAAGTTTACAGTGGGCACTCGCCTCCTTGAATATATAAGAGATGAACATATTTGATGAAAATATAAAATTTATTACTTTTTGATTTTATTCTTTAAACAGGAAAATGTCTGCTCCTATAAAGAAGTCTGTTAAAATAACGAATACATTGGAAGTATACATACGCCGATGTACGTATCAACAATACAAGCAAAGAAACCGAAATTATACAAAATAAAATAAAATAAATTAGAATTTAAATTTTGACATGCTCCTAATCAATATAAAGAATTGCTAAATAAAAGATATAGTCGAACAAGGACAAAATTTTAACAGAAGTATTACTAGAAGAACATTAAAACATTCAAAGATACTATAAATAAAAAGTGTTGTCGATTGCGTACTGTATTATTAAATTGAAATTCTTCTGTTTTACTCTTAATTTTTAGATCTTTAGGTTCGTTCTGTCTAAATCTTTACTTTTATAAAGAAAAAACACTTGATACTATAGTTTCTTCCTTATATTAAGAAAAACATTGTATGTTAAACAGGCCTAAATAGTGTGACAGAAGAATGAACTATAAAAGAGATATTCTCTGTACGAGTCTTCCCAATAGAGACCGCTTTTTATCAAAAAATTTGGAAGTCTTAATTACATAAAACAAACGTTGAACGGCGGCCAAGTGAGAGTAAGTGCAAAAAAAGCGGTCTAAATTCGGAAAGAGACATTCTGTAATAAACATATGAAAGTTACTTAGATGCATAATAAAATAATAGAGAAATCTTTTTATCTGATATTTACTGCCTAGCAAAAAGACGATTCGTCAGATAACAATGAGTACAATTAGGTATTTTACAATGCAAATAAATTTTTATTAACAATAGAGTGATGAAAAAGGTAGATAATATATATATATATATACAAGTGAAGAAGTGAACACGAGTAACAGACATATGTAAGATAATAATCCGATACGTAATAAAATGTTGAAATTTATTCTTTCGATTATGGTGTCGTCCATAATAGTCATCGGTATGCCCACAATTGCGTTTAAAATAAATCATAGCGCAAAGGCTATTAATCATAAATGTATTGGATATTGTACGTTTAAATTATCATTGAGTGAACCATTTAAATTAGATTCAGTATGCTTGAATCGAACACAATCTGATAGTTGTACAGTCGAAATTGATATTGATTATAATACTAAAGTCGTTGATGTGAAATTTCTCACAGATGATACTAAGCAACAGCGTGCAAATGATGATGATTACAATATCGATCAAACTATACGAATGGACTTTAATACGAAAGTAATCAAGATAAAAGTATATTATCTATGTTACACTGATGATGAATGCGATTTAACATATGCTAAGCTCACAGTCGATCGGTTACGTTCGTTGAATTATCAACCAGCTTTTGATGACTTTCTTAAAATTCTTCACAAGCCTGATAATCCTGTAACGCAATGCTATAATAACGATAATACTGTGGAGTGCGTGGACGGTAATTGCTTAGCACTAATATCCAATTATTCAAATGAGTTTGATTCAAAATATTGCGATCAAAACGGCGATCCAACGGAAACTGATCTTGTGATCGGTGAGTTTCGAGCGTTTAATAAAATGACAACATTAAGGCAAAATAAGAGAATTAGGTATTTATGTGATACGAATCTTTGTAATGGCAAAGAGTTTATTGATGCTGTTCAAAAAGTTGTAGGAAATTATGACTCCACCTTGTCAATAACATCACCCTACAGTGGATCAGCAACGAAATATCCATATAAGCTAACAACTTATACAATGATATTATATGTATTTTGCCTCATTTTCTATTGATAATCATACACTGGATCGAACAATTATTTGTCCACCATTACACCATCATTTTGTCTATCATTCTTAAACCATACACTGAGGGCCCAGAAAAGCATGGTCGTTTTTGCTTTGTTCAATATTGTTACAGTATGATTCATTTATTTCTTTCTCGTTCTTTGATATCATACAGAACATACGCGTATGCACACACTACAGATCCGGGATTTTCACCATGGTGTAGAACAGCATATCTGGCCTATATGCAGGTATTTCTAGCATGTAATTTCATTTTGTCTTGGTTTTAAAAGAAAAATACTAAAACGATGTAGTTTTTTGACGGTGAAAAATTATTCGTCCACTTTCGAAAGAAAATTTCCTTTCGAAAAAGAACTGGTACTAGTGAAAGATTTTGATTGATTTTATCTCTTTACCTGTAATAGACTATGTACGAACGAAAAAAGTCAACGGGATCATGAAAAAAAGTTTCTGTATGAAAGGATACCATTCGGCCTGTTCATCCAGGAGGTTGAGTTAATAGAAAATATTCCTAGCTGATCATGGTCGTGAGCTATTAATTAATTATTGTTAATAGCATTTTCATTAATTAACTCATATCTCCGTCAAAAAGGCGCATGGGCCCAAACCAACTTGGGGTTTTTCACTACTGACTATTCCCTACATGATGAAAATAGTCTGAGTCGAAAAAGTATTATGTGTCTATGTCTTCACCTCTATATCAAATCTTAGCTATAGATTAGCTGTTTTCTTGAAGTAAATACAGTGAATTGTGCGAAGTTCGCCGATCTACTCGTATACTAAAGATTATAACCTGAAATGTTCAGTTACCTATTTACAAAACATTCCGTCTCGCCAACGTAAATAAAACGAATTTAAAACACAAACTCCTTGTAACTAAAATGCATAGAACTTGCTGCGTATTTTCAGATTAATTAGGCTATGCCGTGAAACTACGCGAATTAAATTAATTTATGTTCGCTCGCATAGTCTAAAACGAGTTATACGAATACCATCTTTAAGAAATTAATATCATTTACGTTCGAATTTAACGTAATAATCGATGATTTTCGTACTGTCACGAGTTCTTCATTGATCATTGATTATGAACTTAACAGACGTTGGTAAAAATCGACCGCTAACTGCTCGTGATACAGTACAGTAAAGGCTAAATTCACCTTTAAGTTTTAGACTACTAACGCAATGAATTTATGTGCATTCAAATTCGGGAAGAAAAACGCTTAGTAAATTAGATACATTTTCGAGATAAATTTGAACAGAAACTTTCTATTTTCTTGTTATAAATTTTAATTAAATGATATTTCAGTCAGTAAATTTCATTAGAAGATGTTTTAAACGCATAGTGCATAAACAAGAACACTTAGATTTGTTTAGTTGTTGCTATCTGCGTTCTCTTCATCTGAACTTTCTGTTTGATATTTTATATCACTATCATTCAAGTTTATTCCAGTAATCAATGATTTTTGGTAGCTGTTCAGTTGTAACGTGTTCTCTGACAGATATTGTGGAGCAGCTAAAAAGAAGAACGCAAAACAGCTTCACTATCGGTTGTCAAGCTTCTTCTTATTTGCTTACTTGCAATATTCAGTTCATGCGGCCAGTGTGTCAATGTATAATTAGCTTTTACATATTGTTTCCTATGTTTTCGAAATTCTTTTAAATTTCGATATTCCCAGTTACACGGCTGAACAAACGAGGTCGGTGTCATCGTCACATAAGCGACTATTCGAAGTAGACCAGTCTTTTCTACTTGATGATCGAGCGAATTGATTGGCGTATTTAATGCTGGAGTATTGCAATGAATTGTACGACTATCCCAAATGACTAGATCACCGGCTTTGCATTTTATTAGTTTTCCAACTCTGAACTCCTTTTCATTTGGCGGTAACTGTTTGAAAATACGATGTTCATAAGGAACCCGAACATAATCGCCTCTCCTATCGTTAACCGTTACAAGATCTTTTAGTTCATCAAATTGATTATGAGTGCCAGGGAAAACGATTAAACCGCCAGTAAATTCATTGTTATCGGTCATTGCTACGAGACCTTGCACTGAACAACGATTCGGTTTCGTTATTGGATGCTGTACAAAAACACGAAATATAACAAAAATATACGAATTATAGAAAGACGGTCCCCTGAAATAATTTTGATACCCTACCGCAGGTTAGCATGCGTTAAAAAGAAGTTTTCGAGAAAATTGCGTTTGAACGGGTTAAATTTTCAAATATAAAGCGTGCTTACGTTTCTTTGGAGCGATAACGAGACAGATCCGGCTAAATATGGTTCTAAGAAATTTAACGAGTTTCCACGCATTCAACTTTTCCAAAAAGTCGATGATATACGGCGTAAATGCGTTTAAAAATAAAGAATAGATGTCGTTTAAACGGGTTAGAATAGATTTTAACTCATTAAAACTGGTTGAACGATAACTCTCTAAATGCGTAAAAATTCCAGTGCGTTAGAACGGTAATTTTTCAGTCACCCTTTTGTTTTGTATGACTAACTCATATATAAATAGCATGTCTTTCCCTACGAGATATACGATACGTTCACTTAGACAATTTTCTAAGTTTTCCTCTTACTATATATATATGTATGTGTAAGAGACTAGTCTACCATAATGAAGTTGATGAACAGTATCTAGTGGACCATAGCTATATGGATCTTGGGATCCATCCAGGGAACAAAAACCTGCCTGAAAAGGATAAACACACTATATACGCACTATAACGCGTTAATATTACATTGATCCGAAGTATTATTCTAATGAGTGTAAATGCATCCACGAAGCTAACTTGTTCAATTTTTAACGAGTTTGAACGATTTACGATTATGGAGACATTTTCACGCACTACTAATCTAACCCTTTAGAATCCCCGATTTCGAAACATTTAATGCGGTTCTAACGCGTTAAGCTGCTTACGTAACGCATTAGGGTTATAAAATTTTTGTAATTAACGAGTTTGAAGGTCGTTTTCATATTTTTCTTGTAAAAGCGTGTTTGAGTGCGTTAGAATTGATTTTCAGTTCCATATAAGTTTGCAACATAACGCATTTAACAGTATTTAGCTAGTGTGACTTTACTTACTTTTTCATTCACTAGTATGCACGCATTAAATTTTTCTTTTATTTAACGCCTGCTAACGCGCGTTAGAGTATCAAAATTATTTCATGGGGTTATGTGCTAACCTGATCGCAATGATTCCATCCACTAATTGTTTTCCATTTTTCGCTGATTGTCCAATCTCGATAACATCCTGCACCATCAAATGACACTAGCAACTCGTCTGTCTTCCATATGTTTGAGAAAACTTTCTTAATATTTTTGTTTCCTCTCACATTCCACATGTACTCTGATTGTCCAATTCCATAATCTTGTACAAGTCCAATGTGGGGCATACCAGGCCTTAAAATAAACAGCAACATTAACGTCAGTATTTATTTCTGAAGAAAATTCTAACATTAGAATAACATACCAATTATTCCATGTTTCAAAATTATTTCGCCTTATAAAATAAGGTCTTGGTAATTTTTCTAAATGTTTCCAGAAGAGATCAATATTTGAATTTACTTCATCATTAGATAGAACATCTTTGAAGACAACGTAACCATTTTCATTTAAATAAGTCACTCCATCTTCTAATTCTGCTGATGATTCAACAGAAAATCGTGGTATGTTACTTGTGTAATCAATTGGTAGTCCATTATTATCTTTGGCATATCCACTATCAGGCTTATTTTCCATTATATCGATTATCTAAAATCTGAAATAAGACTCTCAATAGATCCATCCTTTCTGTAACTTTTCTCTGTATTAATAGAACTACGTCCATGTGATTATCATATATATATATATATAATCTACCTTTGCTTTCTCAAGCTATATGATTTGATACGTTGATATTGTTTTCACGTGGCAGTGTCTATGGTTATGGTTAAGAAATGATCTCATAACACAATGTGTGTCAAGTTTTCTTCTCTAACAATTTTTTTCCTGTTACTCATTCTTTCTTTGTTTTGATGACCGATAAAACACATTACATATTTCTTTTACATTCTGTTAGATCAAAACAATTAGATCTAACTATTATATACGCCTTGAAGAACACAAAAAGAGAAATAAGTCATTCAGGTATTGCATTTGACTGTTTTAATCCCATTAGGCTAGCATCCGTATACGAAAAACAAACGGAAGATGAAGGAAAGAAGAAAGAAGGAGCTATCTAGATCGAGAGCGGACGTGTTCTTCTTTCCTTAATATTTCCAGTTTCAGCAATTACAGTTGCTACAACCTATAAAATCACTCTTATGGAATGGATACAATGGAATTCCAACGGATAGTATTAATTATGCTTCATACTCAAGTTATCATAAATTAGTGTCAACGTTAAATACAAACACACTACCGCCCTAAATTGAATTAGCATCCGTCTCGCAGTTTCCACCCTTCTCAAAACTACAGACACAGTCAGCAACATATGAAATGCACTAGAAGAAAAATTCAATAAAATTACGGAGTCCAATATTAAGAGTAACGAATAATCGAGTAGTTAATCGATACTATGTCAGCTCACAGGTTAGTTTCTGGTATTTCGTTGGTTAATCATTCACAAATAAATTTTCAAGTATATGTGTTCTCTCTTTCACCTGTTCTGCTCGAGGACAAAACACATAAATCATTTTCTCTATGCAGGTAGAGCAAAAGTAATCAAATGAAAAAACAAATGTGCGTATGCGTCATCGGCAGAATGACTAATCATTGCACAATATGATGAAAAGACCTAGCATCATACTACCTAAGCAGCGTATTTATAGCTCATTTAGAAGCTCGGAAAATTCTCTATCGCATGATATATCTATCGTAGTGACTAGATGAGAAACGTTGATCATAGGATCCTCACGATTGAATAAGTCACCCACTTGTCGCGGATTTGCAGAAAGTATTTCTATTGTCAAGGTGCCTCAGGACACCTTTTTCACTATTTTATATATATGAAATTGTAGCGCGGGAAATTCCGTATCGAATGATATATATCTGCCGTAGTGGCTAGTTGAGAAAGGGTGTCATGGATTATCTTAGACTTTTTGCACGTAGAAGATCATTTTCCATAGCCGGAAGTATTTCTAAACATACTTGGCCTCAGAACGACTATTTCCGTATATGTGATATACAGAAATATAGCGCAGAAAAAGAGCCTTCAAATGACATATAATAATTCTATTAAGGTATGAAGCCGAAAGTGACACTCAAAAATATGATCGATAATACATATCAGAAGGAGCAGAACTTTGATTACAGTTAATTCGACCCAATTTTTTCTGTGAATAATTCTAAGGTCTATCAAGTGTCTAGAAATATTCTTCTGTTCATTCTGCATCTAACCATGTATGTGTCGATGGTATTCAGGCAGGAGCCGATTCCATCAAATAATCGCCCCATCCTTTGTTGTTTACATGATGTAAACTTATCAGTATGTATTCTTTGCGAATACTTTTGCTTCTGCATACAATCTCGTGTGCTAATGAAAAAGATATCGTATTAAAATCAATCGAAGTTTCCACCATGAGAAGAAACTAGAATACTAATTCAGAAGAAGAACAAATGATTTTATCATTAACCCTTTGTTGGAGGGCGTGGTATATATACCATCTCGAGTATTTTCTCAAAGTTGAGGAATGGTATATATTTCAAATCAATCAGAAGTGCATGGAAACAGCCTGCAGATTACTTTTCTGTATTGATAAATTAATCCTGTCAGCATTTCGAAGTATTA